CAGTGGACTAGGAGAATGGTGCGCCTAAAGCCAAGGGAGCAGAGTTGCTGTCCCAGTGGGCCTGGAAGGAGGAGCTGAAGCCTAAGGCTGATGGGCCTCCACTGAGAATCCAGAGACTGTGGCCAATACCTAGAGTCTAGAGGGCAGGGCTATTGTGTAAATTGTCTCAGAGAACAGAAGATTATTTTCAAAGCCTTGAGGGCTAATGTACTGTGTTCTGCTAACTTGCTTGGTGCCTGTTATCCCTTCTTTCCCTGCAATTTCTCCCATTTGTAATGGAAATGTCTAGCTTGTGCCTGTTCTGCCATTGTACCTTTGGAAGCAGATAATTTGTATTCTAGATTTCACAGATGAAGAGGAGTTTTTGGATTTTGGACTTGGAGTTAAGACTTTTGCTATGATATGATGAGATGAATATGTTTTCCATGTTGCAAGGATGTGTTTTTGGGGGGTCAAAGGGTGGAATGTCATGGTTTGAATTATGGCCCCCCCAAAATGTGTGTATCAGTTTGGCTGGGCCACGATTCCTGGTACTGTGATTTTCCTATATGTTGTAAATCCTGCCTCTATGATGTTAATGAGGGAGGATGGGTGGCAGTTGTGTTAATAAGGCAGGACTGGATCTGCAAGACTGGATTGTGTCCTGAGGCAATCTCTTGAGATATAAAAGACAGAAGTGAGCAGAGAGACAAGGGGACCTCATACAATCCTGAAAGCAGTTCCGGGAGCAGAGCGCGTCCTTTGGACTGGGGCCCTGTGCCGAGAAGGTCCTAGTCCAGGGGAACACTGATGAGAAGGCCGACAGAGAGAGAAAGACTTCCCCTGGAGCTGACGTCCTGAATTTGGACTTTTAGCCTACTTTGACTGTGAGGAAATAAACTTCTCTTCATTAAAACCATCCACTTGTGATATTTCTGTTATGGCAGCACTAGATAACTAAGAGAGTTGTCATTTCAACAGTAAATGGGTATGGCTTCTCCTTTCAAGAAGCTCAAGTATTCTACGGAGTTCCTGGGTGGTGCAAATAGTTAATGCGCTTGGCCACTTATTGAAAGGTTGACGGTTCGAGTCCACCCAGAGGCACCTTGGAAGAAAAGTCTGGTGATCTACTTTAGAAAAATCAGCCATTGAAAACCCTATGGAGCACAGGTCTACACTGGCACACATGGGGTCACCGTGAGTCAGAGTTGACTTGTAGGCAACTGGTTTTTGATTTTGTTTTTCATATTGTAAGGATGCCACTAACTAATGGAGCATGGATGCTTTTCATGAGTGTGGCATCCTTTTGAAAAATAAAAATAACGAAACATGTTTCAGAATAGTTCATTCATTCTATAAATAATTTTGAGGTACCTCAATACATCCTATACGTTAATTCCAGTATCTAGCACTGTGCATATCTGTTGAAAGAATAAATGAATGGATAAAATTAAATACTGTGCAAAGTTTGCCTAATTTATGAACTTGAGGATGCTAGGTCCCAGAGAGCAAGACACATTTAGTACAGGACAATTCCTAGACAGGTCTTCATATATAAGACATTATTATATAATGATTGCATATGACATGCTCAAAGAAATAACAAATTTATGGTTATTGAGAGTCTAACCCATACAATATATATACCACGGAGACAGCCTGTATTTCACTGAAGCATAATAATCTCACTTCAGTGAGAAATAAGGAGTAATGGAACAGTAGGGTGAAAGGCAGAAAAATAAAATTCTGGCCCCAGCTCTTCACTTACTAGCTTAAGGACTGTGGTAGACTGTCTGCAAACATGGTTGCCAGCAGGTCCTTCCATCTTTGTAAACACATGTCCCCACTCCATGAGTCCGTTTATTCTCCCCTTGACTCTTGATTTGGTGACTTGCACTGACCAGTAGAACGCAGTGGAGGTGACACTGTTGCAGTTCTTGGCCTGGAATCTTCTCCGTACACCCTCCTGAAAGCAAGCAACCACCCTGCTTGACAGCGGCTCTTTTGGATCTTGCAGTCACAGTTGGATCTCCCTAGCCAACACTGCACAGAGCAGAGATGAGCCTGGGAATCTGCTTCTGGAAATCAGCCAATGAAAACCCTATGGATCATAACAGTCTGATCCGCAGCTGATCGTGGCGATGGTGCAGGACGAGGCGGCGCTCTGTTCTGGTGTGCGTGGGTCGCCACGAGTCAGGGGTAGGATGGTGTGTGACTCAATGGCAGCTGACAACAACAGCAAACCGCAACCCCCAGGCCAAACCCAACCTGTGGCCCGTTTGGTATAGCCTGTGTGCTAAGAGGCCTGCGAGCTTCGGCTTTTTCTTCTTAAAATCCAGTTGAAATCCGTGATTGCCCTGGTATATAGAGAGGACCTGGAGGATGAGATACCAAGGGAGAGAGAGAAGCCTGGCCAGCCCTCAGCCATGCTAGCAACCCCAGCTGAGGCCCCAGCAGAATGAGGGAAGGCATTTTGTATCCTCCAATCAGCATCGTGGGACGCAGAGACAAGCTGTCCCCACCGACTGCGGCCCAAATTGCAGAGTCGTGAGAAATAAATAATTGCTTATGTTTTAACCACCACGTCTTGGCGATAATTTGTTACATTTTAGTAAGTAACTGAAATAAGGAGCTTGGGTGCATTATTTAATCTCTGGACTGGGCAGGAGACTTTATTTGGACTCTAGTTTCTTCATCAATAAAAATCAAAGATGGGACAGTTAATCCCTAGGGCTCCTCTCTAACATGTTACTCTGGGAGCAATTCTGTCACTCCACAACATGTACTGAGTGCCTGTCAATGAGAGTTGAAGGCCACATGGTTACAGGGGTGGTGTAAATGGTTAATGTGGTAGGCTGCTAACCAAAAGGTGGGAGCTTGAAGCCCACTCAGAGGTGCCTCACAAGAAAAGCTTGGGGGTCTACTTCCAAAACATCAGCCATTGAAAACCCTGTGGAGTATGTTTCTATGCTGACACATGTGAGGTCATCGTGAGTCGGAATCAGCTCGGTGGTAACTGGGGGTATCCATGCTGGTCAGGCACTATTGGAGGTGTTGACGTGCACAAGATCAAATGTGGATAGAATCAAGTTCATCCCTCAGAGGAAAATTCACAAAATGGCCGACATAATCTGAGGTCTAAGGCAGTAAACACTCTCCCCAATCATGGGGGGAAAAAGAGAGAAAGAAAGAAGAGAATCTTTGCACTAAGACTCACAGTTCTTTTATACTAGCAGAACTGGCTTCACATTCCTCAGAAATAGCAAACCATGACTTCCAACAGCTTTTCTTTTTATTTTTGAAGATAACATCAGTGCAAAGTTCTCCAGCATGAAGCAAACCCTGGCTATGGCAGTGACTGTGGAAGTCTGGATTTGTGAAATGCCCAGGGCAAGCAAAAACAAACAAACAAAAAACCCCAATCTTTTGGCTACTTTGTGACTTTCACATAGTCCCTGTGGTCTGAATTCCTACCTTCCATAGAGGACCTACCCGCACAATCAGGAGAAAGGCTGTGGAGCTGGCCCCGGGAAGGAAAGAAGGCACTGATTCATGCAGGCTGCTCTTTCCCACCTGCGTGTTATGTTCCAGAATGTTCTCTGAGTAGGCAGATAAACACAGTTTCTGCCTTATAGGCTTTCACTGCATAAGCCATAAATGGTGATCAGAAATTTTATCCAGGGCGTTGACTTATTTGCTATTTGTTCTTCAGTTACAGTCGATCATGTGTAATTCCTCGGGAAAGAACTGGGTAACCGGAAGGCAGACAAGAGGCCCCAGGTGTTGCTTCCACTTAGCATCTGACTCACTGGGTGACAGTCAGCAGGTCAGCCTGGCACCAATGTCTTCTGGCCTTGGTGTCTTCTTCTGCCACATGAGCTCTGGGTTACCTTTCCTCTCATTCTGATTGCAGAAGTGAGCTGGCTTTCCACTGGAAAGTCAAAATGGAGGTGTAAACACACGGGAGACTGAGACACAGAAGCTTCAGGAGGAAGGGCTGTAGGGAGTGAGCTGAAAGGACTTCAAGGGCGCAGTGAAAGGTCTCCTAGCAAAGGTTTCGGGACTCAGCAAAGCATTTCTGCCAGTTTGAGGTTTGACTACAGTATTTGCTCAGTCACACAGAAACATGTTTGCCTACATGTTGCCAATGTGCTTCGTTAAAAGAAAAGGGAAGAAAAGCGGGAAATAGCAAAATCCCGCCGAGGCAGCGGGCTAAACGGCTGGGAAAACACGGCAGTAGTAAAAGAAGGAAGGGAGGAAACTTCTTTGTTGCAACTTGGGGTTCAAAGCCACCGGCCCCCGCCCAGCTCGGGACGTCTTGCCGGGAGCGCGCACAGCTGCCCGACTGGAATGCCTCCGGAAGCCTGGGGAGCAGCTGAGCGCAGCTCGCTAGGAAGGGTTGGGAGAGTCTCCTGGGGGCGGGGATGCGGTGGGTTCTGGGCTCTTGGCTCCTAGCCTCTGCCTCCCGGGAACCCCCAGCCCTGCGCTCCCTGCGCTCGCTCGGAGGCCGAGTGGGCCAGGGCTCTGCAGGGCAGGGCCAGGCGGAGCGCCTCTCCGCGTTCGCGCTACGCCCGGGAACTGCGGGGCAGGGGTTAAGCTAATGTGTTTGCAGACGGTAACGCGAAGCTGGATGCCAACGGCCGCCGCTCAGGGGAATCGAGATTTGTGTTTCTTGGAACAAGTCTTTTCTCCATTGCATTGACGCCTTAAAAAAAAAAAAAAAAGGTGACTTAACCAAGCCCCGAGTCTTCTAACAAGCTAAGTTATTAGGCCCAGCCAGGCTGAGACCTCAACGTGGCTCTCAAGAAGTAAAAGGAGGGAGAGAGGAAGAAACAAGGCCGATAATGGGTCTGGAGGAGGCCGGAGCTCGCCAAGGCCTCGGCGTGCTTTAACAGAGGGCAGGGCGCAGGGCGCGGCGGGCGCGGGACACTGCAGGGCGAGGGGAGGGTGAGTCACCCCGGCCGGGTGGGGACGGGGCGGGGCGGGCCGCGCGCACCGAGGATGAAGCGGGTATAAAGCCCCACCCATGCGGCCGGCTCCGCTTCGCATCTGGGGACGCTCGCAGCTCTCGGCGCCCGGCCCAGGTAAGCGAGGCGTGCCGCCTGTTATGGCCCCGGGGTACCCGCGCTGGCGGGAAGGCAGGACCAAGGACGCGGCCTCGCCAGGAGAGGCTCGGGCAGCGGGACCCGGGAGCCGTCCGGGCGGGGGCTGGGCGGGGAGCCGGCGCAGGGGCCAGGTGGTCGGGGTGGGGGCACAGGGGCCGGGCGCCGAGCTGCGCCCGGGCCTGGGGTGCAGGGAGAGGTTGGGATCGGACATCCCGCTTAAGGCTTCGCAGGAAGCGGGGGCAAGGCCGCGCAGGGGAGAGGAGCGGAGGGAGGCCCGTAGGCCGGGCGGCAGGCGGGGTTGGGGGACAGGGTGTGGCCGCCGAGGGGGCCGCGGGTTCCTGGGCATTTCCCCCCACGTTCAGCGAAAGCCTTGCAGCCATCTGGAAAGGAATCCTCAAGCGTTCCCAGTTACTTTACTTGACACAAAGGCGCATCTGTGGAGCTTCAACTCACCCGAAGTGGGGAAGCAGTGGGTAAGGATGGGGGTGGGCGTTTTTAGTAGCCACGCACCCCCCAAATAAAACCAGAACAACAGAAACAAAACCTCAGCTCGTTTTCCTTTGTCTAGATTATCTTGTGGGATAGCAACCTCGGATTTAAGTGTTATCTGGAGAGTTTCCCCGTTACTAGGGGTCACACTCAGCCGGGTTGAACACATTTGCATCAGGAAGGAAGTGTCCTCCTGGTTCTGTGGGGAGGTTTGTCTTGACTTTTCCTCTCAATAATGCGTCAGTGAGTCGGGGACTGAGGGCACAGAGAAGGGCGTGGCTCCCGGCAGCTCCTGCAGCGCTGCGGGGCGGTCCCCAGCGCCTGGAGTGCTGGCCTTGGGCTCCTTCTGACCGTGGAGAAGATCAGAGGCGAACGTCCGTTTCCTTATCTGTGAAAGTGGTTTAAGAATTCATTATTTCCTCCACTCACACAAGATGCTTTTTCAAGATTTCAAAAAGCAAAACAATGAATGTGGAAAGTACAATGAAAACACTAAGCACTCTACAAATGCAGAGGGACGTTATTGTTGCGTTATTACGATTTGCTAGGCGTGCTGAATCTGTGTAAAAGAGCCTGGGTCTTGTGGGTGCACACTGCCTGAGTCTTTACCAAGAACCATAAGCTCCAGGAGTCCAGGGACCTGGACCTCTGAGCTCAGACCAACTGTACTGATGGATTCTGTCCAGAAGTGTGTACTGTCTGGGACTTGGTGCTCTGGGATGCAGAAGGTGCTTTCCCAGTGTTACAGCGTGCTCAGGCACTCGGGCTAGCCCAGAAAACCGTATTTAACGTGCAGGGTATGTAAGTGCCGAGAGTGCATGCCTGATTTTTCTTTTGGGGGTGGGGGTGGGTATAAGGAGAGATCTGTGAGTAGGAAGAACGAACCAAGCACTGAACTATTTTACCAGAACTTTTGTTACTTTCAAACTTGGCCGTGATTAAATCATCTTAATTGGAAAAGTCTGTCTTTGCCTCTCCCCACGTTCTTTTCTCCGCCCTCCTCCCACTCCTCAGACAGCACCCTGACCTCTGATGAGTTTCGACAGCCGTCAGGCTTGTTCAGCGCTGTGTCCTACCCTCCTCCTTCCCGTTTCAGTGTAGTCACAGCTGTGCAGTTGCTGTCGAGTGCATTCCAACTCATCTCGACCCTGTAGCCCAGAGTAGAACTGCCCCCTAGGTTTTCCAAGGATTCGAACTGCTGGCCTTTTGGTTAGCAGCCTGAGCTCTTAGCCATGCAGCACCAGTTACAGCTAGGGACTAGCAGACTGAATCCATATTCATTAAGTTAGGGATGGCTGGTGGCCTGAAATCTTCAGCAAACCAAGAGGAATTGTGTTATTTAAAAAGCAAAACACAAAACAACCTTGCTGACCCCAACAATTATAAACGTGTCGTTTATAGAATTTGAGGCTGTGGAATCCAGGAGCGATAATACTCAGGCAGTGGGAAGGAAGATTTGAGGCGAGGGCCAGATCCAGAGAGGCCAACAGCGCTAAGACATACCGACTTAGCAGCTTCCTCCCTTCTAGGGCCTTTGTTATCTAAAAGCCTCAAGGGTTTCTCCAGAAGTACCTATCCCATCTGTGTGGAAGGCTGAGACCACTAATGTGTATTTTTTTAGCGGGAGGTTTATGATTTTGTAATTCACCGAGGTGCCAAGTGGCCTGCCTGTCTGGGGTAAATGTGCAGGAAATATTGCTGACTCACAGGCTTTGATCAGGAGCCCGGTCATGGATTGGAGTCTCAGTATTTAACGTCCTGTGTCTTTGCGCTATGAAAAGGAACGTATTGATTGCTGTTAAGCCTGTGGTCATAGCCATTAGCTTCCCGGCCACTGAATCTAATTTCTGATTTAAGTAGTTTTCCTGGCAAGGTAGACATTCTTTGGTAATTGGAATTGATTTTGAGGGCTGTAGGAACTTCCTGCAAGCATAGGCCTGCTATCTGGCACCATCGTGAGCCTTTGTTCTACCTCTTTGCTTGTGTGGGGCTCTGCCTGCTGAGGCCTTTTCTGTTTAGGGAGGATTGGGCGTGTCCCAGACGAGTCCCAGAGTCTAGAGGGCTGCTGTAAACATCCATTCATTCCACAAAATATTTATGAAGCACCTAGTATGTGTCACTTGGAGTTACAAGCACTGGGGGCATAGCAGTGTACAAAGCAGACAGAAAACGCGTGCTCTTGTAGACCCTAAATCTAGCGGGAAGAGAAAGAAAAGAAAATAAATGAACTGCACCAACGATCCTGAAGATGGCGCAGGACCAGGCAACGTTCCGTCCTGTTGTATGTATAGGTCGCCTGCAGTCAGGGCCGACTCACTGGCAACTAACACAACGTAGTGTCCGATGGTTTTAAACTCTCCGTTTTCCTCAAATAGCGTGCGTTTCCAAACACGGCTGGGGCTCCCTGCCCTTGTAGTACAGCTGTCCCACAGTCCTGAGCAGCTTATGTAGGCTGCCTCGGGGAGCTGCTGTTTGAAGTGATGGTGACTTACCTGCCTTCCAGACTTGACGGTGAGAACAGAAATGGGATGTTCCTGATTTTTTTTTTTGGTTTTGCACATGGGAATCCACTTCCTTTGTTTTCCCTGGTGCCGCACCCGATTCTAGCTGTCTGCCACGCCAGAGGAAATGCCAGCTCTTTTAAAAAATTCTTTCCGCCCATTCACTGTCCAGTATATGTTTTCTTCTCCCATTGCCAGAGGCAGTCCCCGTCCATTTTGTGGAGAGGGCAAGCTGGCAGTCGGGGACGCCTCCAGGCTTGTGCGTCTGCGGGGCTCCACCGAGACTTTCTCTGAATCGCCCTTCTAGGGTACACCTGGAAATGTTTAAGCCGTCTCAGCTCGTCCATGTCAGAGCACAGCTCAGTGGCGCCCAGGTGGCCAGGGTTCTAGTCCAGGCTGAGTCTGGTGGGGAAAGATCCAGGCAGTGGCTGTAACAGGGAACACTTGCCGGTTTTCTCTCTGCCACACCCAGCCTCCATACTCACAGCTCCGAGGATATTAGAGACCCAAGGCCACTTGTAAGCCCTTCCTCCTTCCACCGCCTTGCCTCCAGTGTGGAAAGGGGAAAACCAAAACCCAAACCCCTTGCGATCGAGTCAATTCTGACTCATAGCGACCCTATAGGACAGAGTAGCACTGCTGCATAGGGTTTCCAAGGAGCGCCTGGTGGATTTGAACTGCTGACCTTTTGGTTAGCAGCTGTAGCTCTTCACCACTACACCACCAGCGTCTCCATGGAGAGGGGAAGTAGGTTATATCTCCTCGTTTTCCTGCGGACAGAGCAAGGACCCAAGCAGCATGAGTACAGAGGTGGGTGCTGGACTGGGGGTGAGGACGAGCTTTATGTCACGGTGACAGAGAGGCCGCCCGGGATCTGCCAGGTTCTGCAAAGACTCGCACGGAGGCTGGGAATTTCAGCCTCCAGCTCTGAATGTGCGGAACTGAAGCTGCTTTTAAAATGTTCAGTCTGAGAGAGAGAAGAAGGGAGGAAGGAGAGTGTTGGGAAAGAAAAAAGAAAGCCTTCATATGGAAAGTCCCAGCGTGTGGAAACCAGCCAAGATTTCAGCTGAACACCTGCTGTGTGCCAGGTACTCAGACCTATAAACAAACAGATGAGTAAGACCCCAACTTTCAGGCAGATAGTATGAAAGATGACATTTAACACTAGTATTTAACAGATACACAGGGCCACAGGAGCGCAGAGCTGGGAGGGTGCCTGAGCAGAGGGAACACGCATTACTATTTTTTGAATCCTGAAGCATTGTTGGACGTCAGCTCATCAAGACGGTCGGTGTTCCTGGTGGCGGGAACATGGAAGGCACAGGCCTGGGGGTAGCAGGCTAGGCTGTGCTTGTTTTGCGAAGAGTTAACGTCTGAGCTGACTTGGGTGCGTGCATGTGTGCACAGAGGCATTAAAAGGTGGAAGGGTAGGCAACGTCCAGAGTGAAAATCTTTAGTGCGAAGTTGATTTCTTTTCCGTAGGCAGCCGGGCACCGTTGCAAATACGATATGTGGGCCATAAAACACTGGAATTAAGTTGTAAACTCAAAGGCCTGGATTTCCCAATCCTGAAAGCACTTGGTGCCAAGTGAGCTCATTCTTGCTGCTGATTTCTCTCCGACCACTCCACTCCCCTATCAGGAGACTGGCAGAGGGAGACGCTGAGAGCAAGGAGCTGCAGCACATCTGTAGGTTCCCAACAAGCACTGATTCAGATCAGGTGGCAGGAGGGCCAGGCCAGAGCAAGTGCACGTGTGTCTGTGCATCCTGCCAGCTTGATCCAGGCCACTGGGCAGAATTCCAGGGACTCTGGGGGGATGACTTGGCCGTGGGCCTCAGGCGTTAATCAAGACCATAAAGCCCAGGAGAGTATGTGCTCCCAGGAAGCTTCTTTTAAATAAAGACACTTTTGGGGAGTGGAGGGTAGGGCACAGTGGGGTGACCCCTACACACTCATACCCCTTTTTTTTCTTTTGGTTTGAAATTCTA